TATATATATATATTTGTATTTTCAGTATAATGCATAATTATTAATTTATTATTAATATTTTTATCTTTCAAAAAAAGAAAAAAAATAAATAATTTTTTCTGTTTTTAATTATCTAATTAACCCAAGGCAGGACACTTGCAGTTACTTTCCTCCCAAGTCAGAAGGATCCTGGAGCTCATTATGGACAGGGTCACTCACTTCCCTAAAGGGGGGATTGGGTGCCAGGGCGCATTATTTCTTTTCCCATACAGTTGCAGCGGAAATTATAGAGGGTGCTAATTTAGGTCAGTTAGGAGAAATGATATACATGAATATGCATAGAGAATCTCCCTCGCGAAACATAGTCAGTGGGGCATCAAGTTTTATGCGTGGATGAATGCTATAGAATCACTAGCCCAAAATTTCGTAAAATAATCCTTGTTAGTCAAGACAGTGTAAAAATTGTAGTACTATATTAGACACATTCTATGTATGCATGGGCTTGGAAAGTATAAAAAAAAATGCTCGGAAACAAATTACTAGTATTTTGGGGGCACAGTTAACTTACAATTTTACAATTAAAAGTTTTTAATGAGAAAAAAAAAACCAGTGACCGTTTCTGTATTATTTTGCATGCTTCATTGGTTGGTATATTTACGGATTTTCGTAGAACCGTCTGTAAATCAACGAAAGCTGTTTTTACTTTCATCTGATTTTGTTCGTTTTAAATATAAAGCTATTCAATATTCAATTGGGTAGACCATGGAGGAAATATATTTCCTCCATGGGTAGACACAGCCTAAACAGTACGTCGTGTGTATAGAATATCGAAAATTAGTGTTTATAATGTACCTGCTTGCTATATAATCTATGCCTTTATTCATATTGAATATGAACTAAATGTTTGTAAAAAGTCAACATTAAAAAATAAATAGAATTGTACCTGTGTGTCAGAGCATTTCTAAACACTTATATCCTTTAGAATCAGTACGGTAGTATTATAGCAGTTAATTATTGCTATACTTTACACTATTCAAATAATCGACCAGAAATTCAGCGCTGCACTTTTATACTTTCAAAGACCATGTTGTATGTTAACGCTGCAGATTGTAATTACAGTTAAATAAAAATACGATGGCGTGCATTGCGATACTTGGAGTATGTATACTCTCTTGTAATTACAGTAATAGTCAATTACAGTAGTTCACTCTGTATCGACTGTATACACTTTCTCTTGAATGACTACCAAGAGATTTTGGCCTACACTAACCATGGAGGATTAGTTTAGTTTCTAAACTAACTCCTCCATGCCCTAACTACGCCGTATCTTTCATATTCCAAAAACAGCGAACACCACACCACTTTCGCAACTAGCGAGAAGAAATGTCAAGCATGCATGCATTATTCATGTTATCAGTTCACCTAAATGACCTTAAATAGTGCCCTCTATAATTTCTGCCTGAACAGTATGAGAAAAAAAAATAATGCGGCCAGGGCCCCCTTCAAGAAGAAAAACCACTATTTGCCAGGAAGAAAAAAAATTATATGTATTTTGCACATATTAGTAGACTCTAAAATTGAAACCCCTAAATTGTCAAATTTTTTCGGGGGCTTCACCCCCTGGAACTCTTTCGGAACATTTTAAACAACACTCGACCACTCCCACTTTGCTCTCAAAGGTAACTTTTTAGGAAAAAAGTTGTTGGGAGCGATATTAAACAATGTACCATCATGCCATTTATTTGAAGTTTCATGCTTAGCTACATACTATCAAGGCTAGAAAGCTAAAAAAAAATCATTCAAATCGGACATTTCCTTATGAAGTTACAAGCGTTTAACCACACAGCTGTTTAGAACAATATATGAGAAAGCAGCCTTCAAAGTTTATGATTTCAGGCATTTCTCATGCAGAAACTATCTTTAATTCCTTAAAAAGTATTGCTTTAACATTGAAAATGGGGGAAATAACTGCATAGAATGATGTGTAGACATAAAAAGGTTAGTTTAGTGCAATAAAATAGATTTTTTTTAAATTTGACATTCCAGCATGTTTTGGCCATTATCTCTGAAACACGATTTGCGACGAGTGAATGGTTTGGCTTGTCTTTGCCACATTTATGAAATATTTATCCATTACCAACTTTAGTTTAGTGGATAATTTACTAAATGCAAAATAGCTGGATGTAGAATCAGAATCAGAATCACTTTATTATCCATAAAAGAAGAAATTGTTTGCTCGATAAAACCTTTTTTTTAAAACATAATACTTCTTTAATACATTATAATAATACATTTGCAGATATAATTATTTGTTTTGCTTGATTATTCATTTTTGTGTATCTTATTTCACATTATCCTAGGAGTCTTAAAGTCTGATGTGGTGACTCACACACAGTGAACAAGTCAAAGAGGCTGTCTGTTATCAAATATGGCAGTATCATCAGTCTGTCAATATGGTACAAAAACTGATAATATAATGTTTAATTACCCTTCATCCATAGAAATTGCAATTAGTAGAGCTCCTCATAGTACACTATATGAACATTATTATATGAAGGTTAGGTTTAATGCTTTAAACATTTTTTCTGAGGGCCTACAAGGCCAGAAGGAAACTTTTTAATGCATTAAAGTTAACCTAAGTATGATCATTTTCCGTTAGTGTACAATGCATGCTCTACCAATTGCTTTATAAGTCAATCGCCGTCTTTTAATGTTAGTTTTTGACAAGGCAATTTGCTTTGGATTTGACAACCAACTGTTGCAGTTATCGGTAGCTATAGTGATATGATCAGTATACTGTGTGCGTATTTGGTGCATATTTACATTTAGCTGTGCGTATGCTCATTTGTGCTGCTGCAATACGCGTTAATTACAGTTACATCGTCATTACTGTCAGTACGGATACGATGAATTACTATTCTCTTGTAATTTGAATTGTGTCAAAAGAACTTGTTTGTAATACTATTTTGAAATAAGCATTTCTTAAAGCATTCTAGAGAGAATACATTCACTAACTGTTTGGTCAGTGCAGACAGGTAAAAATCGCGCGATTTCATAACTACGCTAAGGCTACGGGCAGGCCTAGTACTAGCCCAGTACAAGTCCTGTCTGGCCGTAGGCCAGGCCTACACATAGTTTCGTTCCTTGAGTCTTTAAGATAGGTCTAGAATATTCCTATTATCATTGATTCAAGGAAGTCCTTAATTGTCATACTTAATATTGAATTTGAAGTAACTTTCTTCGGGTTCTAATTAATCTCCTTGCTTTACGAAAGTAGTTTTCAATTACAACTCAATTTTTATCGCGGTGCGCGATATATTTGCGGTGACGAAAAAAATAGTTTTTTTTTTTTTTGCACACGAACCTAAATCAAGCTAAGCGTCCACTATTGAGAAATTATTGGTCTGGGTGGGATAGGCAAATAACATTGTGAGTTGCAGTGATGACGTTACGATTGACTTATAAAAATCATTATTGACAATAAAAACGTTTAACCTCTATACCTATGATAATTCATTCAAAATATCTATAATTCCATATGAATATGGGAATGACTAAATATCAAAGAGGTTTACCTGTGGGTGGATCGGGGTTGGGGTGGGAAGGAAATGCACGGTGGTGACACATGGTGGCTTATAGTCTATGTGAAAAAGAAAAGAATACAATTCAAACTTATTGAAATTATGAGCACTGTATTGGAATAGTATCAAATATTTTTGACAAAAGAAAAATATAATGGAGTTGAAGATAAATGATTTAAAATGGTAAACCTTTGCTTTTGGTTGCATACTGAAATAAATTGATATAAAAGAAAAGTTCTTAAATTTATCTTCTTCAATGCAGACATTTATGTCATAGGTGATAGTGCTGAGTGGGAGAATACAACAATACTTGAGTTGCAGAGAAAGAGACCAGGAATACAGTGTATTAGCAGAAATGATTGGATTCCTGGAAAATACAAACTTGACAATTTGGTTAAACCAGTGAGTACTTGCAAAATAGTGGTGGTAGGGTTTACCGCATCATCATCAACTGGCAGTTCAAATTATCTGGCACAAAGTGTTTTTCAAGAATGTTTGGAGAACAATGATATCGATGAGGGGAAACTTATTCCTGTGATGATATCAAAAGATGCTAAGATACCAGATTGTCTTAAATTGTTAACTCCAGCAAATGGTTGGGAAGATAATGTGTATGAAAAGTTGCTGAATGCATTAGATGGAACAAGTAGGTATATCTATTTATTATATCCACTATATCAGATGTCATTTATGCAGTTGAGATGGCCATTTTTAAAATGTTATCTTAACTTTGCAACCAGACAAGTAAAAAGAACAAATGAAGTGGCTAAACATATGTTTTAAGGTACAAGGAATACAATAAAACCATTATCTTGCAAGTCTACATCTTTATAAGTGTCTCAAAACCAAGATGGCATCCATAATGACTGCCATTTTTAAACGGTTATAGTCAATTTACAACCAGAAATTTAGAAACAATTTCAGTTTCTTAACATATTCTTTACTGTGCAACAAATACAATAAAATCATTATTTAGAAAATCAAAATCATAGAAGTACCAACTAAAATGGCACCCAAAATGGCCACCATTTACCATAAATTTGCAATAAAAAAAAATCATCAGTCCTGATGATGACATAATTAATGTCGAATATTAAATCCCAACACGTTTGCAATCAAACATGCTGAAAACTAAGCATCTAAACATTTTAAGCTGCAGAAATTTAATAAAACCATTAGCTTATAAACACTACAAAACTAAAATGTTGTGTCAAAAGGGCTGCCATTTAAAATTGCAAATGTAACCTATAGTGTAGTTTTGCAACAAGCATGGTAGAATGAAATATATTATTATTATTATTTTTTGCTGCGAAGCAGCCAATTCATATTCTTGACAGCAATTTGACCTCTGAAAGGTCATTGTTTGTCAAAAAACTATCGCCTAAGACAACTGAAAAGCGGAGTTTCCTTCTTTCGTTCTGCCGGGTA